TTTCCCCGTTCCGCCGCCTAATTTTGCATACTCCACCGGGTGTTTGGACTTAAGGTGTCTTGTGGCGGATCCGTATCCGCCGGAAATCCCCAAGCTATAGTTTTTCTTGCACCAATTGCAAGTTGCGGTCCAATTCCCGGTGTTCGGGTCCTTCCACTTAGAAAAATTATTAGCCATTAATTCAGATTTACTTTTTTTTGTACCTGTTTGGGATGAGGCTGCTTGGTCGGCGTCATGGCTGCCGCCACCCTCCTCCTCCTCGTCGTCGTGGCTCTCCGGAATTGCTTCCTCCACATCGTCGTCCTCGTCCTCGAGCTCTTCTTCGTCAATGGTCCTCGGTTGGTCTTGAAAAAAGCGGGAATTATGTCGGTGCAATTCTTGTTCTAGTTGTTCGTCGGTCATCGCATCCCCATCCCTCCTTACGTAACCCGTATCAAAATCATCTTGACTTTGAGATGAAGAGCCGATATGTGATTTACCTTTGCGGGATCTCTTCCTCGCAAGCTCTTTCGTTCGGTTGCACTCGAGGTTACCCATATCAACCGAATATCTAGGACGATCCATCTAAAAAATGTAGCGATTAATAAAAAATTGTAAAAAACTAATTAACTATTTATCTAACTATTAATTCGAGTTATAGCAAATTAAGTAGTGAATTAACTAGTTTTGTGTAAAACATATTTTTTAAACTAGAGTCAAATGTAGCAATTGATAAAAAATTGTAAAAAACTAATTAACTATTTATCTAACTATTAATTCGAGTTATAGCAAATTAAGTAGTGAATTAACTAGTTTTGTGTAAAACATATTTTTTAAACTAGAGTCAAATGTAGCAATTAATAAAAAATTGTAAAAAACTAATTAACTATTTATCTAACTATTAATTCGAGTTATAGCAAATTAAGTAGTGAATTAACTAGTTTTGTGTACAACATATTTTTTAAACTAGAGTCAAATGTAGCAATTAATAAAAAATTGTAAAAAACTAATTAACTATTTATCTAACTATTAATTCGAGTTATAGCAAATTAAGTAGTGAATTAACTAGTTTTGTGTACAACATATTTTTTAAACTAGAGTCAAATGTAGCCATTAATAAAAAAATGTAAAAAATTAATTAACTATTTATCTAACTATTAATTCGAGTTATAGCAAATTAAGTAGTGAATTAACTAGTTTTGTGTACAACATATTTTTTAAACTAGAGTCAAATGTAGCAATTAATAAAAAATTGTAAAAAACTAATTAACTATTTATCTAACTATTAATTCGAGTTATAGCAAATTAAGTAGTGAATTAACTAGTTTTGTGTACAACATATTTTTTAAACTAGAGTCAAATGTAGCAATTAATAAAAAATTGTAAAAAACTAATTAACTATTTATCTAACTATTAATTCGAGTTATAGCAAATTAAGTAGTGAATTAACTAGTTTTGTGTACAACATATTTTTTAAACTAGAGTCAAATGTAGCAATTAATAAAAAATTGTAAAAAACTAATTAACTATTTATCTAACTATTAATTCGAGTTATAGCAAATTAAGTAGTGAATTAACTAGTTTTGTGTACAACATATTTTTTAAACTAGAGTCAAATGTAGCAATTAATAAAAAATTGTAAAAAACTAATTAACTATTTATCTAACTATTAAACAAGAGTCAAATGTAGCAAATTAACTAGTAATTAAACAAGTGTAAATAATAGAATAATTTCGTACCTCTTTCGGACTTTCGGTCTTTCGGATGGGAGTAATAGAATGACTTCAAATTAATTAGATATAATTCCAACTATATTAATAGATATAATAAATATATAAGTAATATATAATTAGATAACAAATATAAGTAATATAATACTATTTATATCTATTTATAGTTTAAACTGTTCGAACCTTAAAACGAGATTGTACCAAACATTTTAAGCCTCGTGTTCTCGTAATATACACCATTTGGAAGACTGAAACACTACTCTTTTAGAATGTTTTCACTTCAAATATCAAATTTGATATGATTTGGTCAGTTCGGTGATTTTTTTTATATAAAGTATGATATTATGTGCATTCTTTATTATCAGAGTCTGGCCCAATATGATTTACTTAAATCATGTCTGATGTATTTAATTCTTGTTAAGTTTGATTTATTTATTATTTGTAGTGAAATCCATCTACAGTCTACACCATTTGGAAGACTGAAACACTACTCTTTTGCTAACCAGTCTACCCCTCCTAGGGATATTGTTGTTCCGATCAAAATTCTAGTGTGTAGGATTTTGTGTAGGATTCATGCTACAGGTTTTTTGAAGATTAAAGTATAGTTTTCCGTATAGCTTGTTGTCCTTGGGGTTTGCTTTTGGCTCGTTCGTTTTGTTTTTGGTTTTTGGTGCTTGGAATTGGGGCATGCCCTTATTTATGGCATGTAAATACATTTGTTACCCGCACGGGTAGCTCAGTTGGTTCAGTGATGGGAAATTTGGAACAATGACCAAGATTCGAAACCCACAACGAACGTGTGAAGGTTACAACAACTCATGCGTGTTGGGCTGAACCTAGGGATGGATTCGGTTCGGGCCACCCAGTCCGTGACCCGGCCCGGCCCGGTACTGTGCGGGCCCGGGACCGGCCCGGTTCGGGCGGTCCGGGACCGGGTATGGGCCCGAACCGGTGGGAAGGGCGGGGCGGGCTCGGTTCAGCATTTTTGTGACCCGGCCCGGCCGGGTCGGGCCGGGGCCCGGGTCCGGTCCAATTTTTAAAAAAAAAAAAAATTGTTTGGGCTCCTACTAGCCGTTGGGGGTGGGGCTGGGGACAACCCAAACGGCTATATAGCCGTTGGGTGGGGTAAAGGGGGGGTCCGGGGGGGGTTGGGTGGTGGGGGGATTGGTGGGGGGGTGGGGGGTAAAAAAAAACTATAAATACTCCTAATCTTAAACATTTTTTCATATCTCTTCTCCAATTCTTCCTATTCTTATCTCTCTACTCTCTAATTCTCTTATTCTCCAATATATTATATATCTACTCTCATATTCTCTTCTCCAAGAAGTTAAGATGGAAAATCAAAATGCCATTATACGGTATAATTTTGATAAGCAGAAGGACCCGAAGACCGGGATGTGGTACGCAATTTGCAAATGGTGCGAAAAAAAATGTATCATGGGGGCTTCAGGCGGATTCGGGATGGCAATCAAGCATATGAAGTCATGTGACAAAGCCAAAGGATCGGGAGGTGCAGGAAGTTCCGATTGATTACAATTTTCAAAATGTTTATCTCTTATATGTAGTTCCTATTTCATTTCAAATAAATGCAATTGAAGTTTGTTTTTAATACTCGTATAAAACTATAAACTATAAATATAAATTATAAAAAAAAAACGGCCCGGCCCGAACCGGACCCGACCCGTGACCCGGGCGGGTGGCCCGGCCCGAACCGGACCCGTCCAACCCGCGGGCCGGTCCCGGGCCCACTTTTCTTGAACCGGCGGCCCGACTGGGCCTAGGCCCGGGCCCGACCCGGCCCGAATCCATCACTAGCTGAAACTCTTGTGTGCACGGGTAAAAGGTCTACCATCATTGGGTCAACTGAGTCACCGTGACTTACATCCTCTTAAAAATCTTGTTGGGCCGAAGTGTGGGGGCTCCTGGGGCGGGAGATTCCACCTTTTGGAATAATGTAAATACATAGGTTTTATTATAATATATGTTACCTGTATCCAAAGTTAATTATGATTATGATATTATAATCACAATCCTTGTCATATATGGCCATATGGGACATGTAAATACATTTTTTGTTGTACTATATTTTACCTTTATCTCAATAACGAATTTTTTGTAACTACGCTGACTATAATTATTATGCTATTATTGTAGTCACAATCACAGTCATAAGAGCACGCAGACGAGGGAATTGGCAACTACAGATTGGGGTGATATATCATTGTTTAAGTATTTAGGTATAATGTCGTTTTCGTTGACAATTAACAACCATATATACCCATTACTGCCAAAAGGCGTATAAGATTACAATCTAGTTCTTATTTAGTAAGGGCGGTAATAATTTATTCATTTTCCACTCATTTCTCTTGAGGTACTTTTTCATACGAATATGTATTATTAGTAATTACATTAAAATATTACAACCTTGAATTAGCATTCTAAATTTCTTCTTGAAATTGAAATTCGAATTCCTCATCAACAGGGCAAATTAGGCACATCTGCATTTCATTGGTAATCTAGCATGAACATTGAAGATTTGAGGTCATCAAGAAGAATTATATTTGAAAACCATGGTCCACAAAACCAAAAAATGCACATCTGGTCTTGTCTTATTCTTATTCCATAACTCAACAACTTTCTAATATCACCAACAAATGTTAATGTAGAATATCATCAACTAAAGTTGCTGGGAAACTGTTTCAAATGATTGTTTCAAGTACAGGGGATTCATGAATTCATCCAACTATACTTTCATGTACTACTCCATCCGTCCCGCAAAATAGTTCCCGGTTTCCTTTTTAGGTCATCCCAAAAAGTAATTCTCACTTCCCCTTTTGGAAAGTTTTGTGTGACTCACATTCAATTATCTTTTTCTTACACAATCACAACCATACATTTCCACTTTATTCCCACTTTTTTAAACTCCGATACAAGTCAATGCGGGAACTATTTTATGGAACGTATGGAGTATAATTTTTTATAAGGAGTATTAGGGATGGATCAGGACCAGGTCAGTCCGAGACTGGGCGAGCTCAAGCCTAAAAATTCCAGGCCCGGTGCCAGCCTGGGTTTGTACCGGGAACGGACCGGGTGGGGCTCCGGGACGGGACTGGACAATAGATAAATAAAAAATAGTGCAATCGGGCCCAGCCCAGCTGGGTCGGGCCCAAAAAAACAAGCCCGAAGCACGCCCTTATAGCCACCGGGCCGAGATCGGGCCGGGACCGGGCCGGGCCAGGTCTAAACAGTACCGGGCACGGGTCGGGCTAACCCGTCCCGGTCCATCCTTAAGGAGTATTCATTAATTAAAAAGTGTGTTAAGAGAGGGCTGACCCTAGCCTCTCAAAAGATGAACAAAACAGAAGAGCAAACGGACCATTCTTTCATTTCAAATAAAGATGAAAGAGGGGTGGGGGGAGTTGTAAGGCATACAAAATTATGAAGTGGCAATTAACATAACATTTTGAACACAGCCAAAAATCTTACTAGTACAGTAGTACGTATTGACTACTTAGCTTGTAGGAAGGTAAGCACAGAGACAGCCATATACCTCCTAAAGGCCTTCTGTCAATATAATAAAATACTACTCAATCATTGAGTTTGGCCTCGATGGCAGGCAAATATAACTCCCTCATTTCTTGCCACCCCCGGAGACATTGAACTTGAAGAATATTATATCTCCGTCTTGGACCACATACGTCTTTCCTTCCTGTCTATACTTCCCAGCAGCCTATGCACATGAGCAGTGTGTTATTTTTAATACTACTAGGCGTTTTTGAGATTATAATGCCGATGAAGAAAAGTGGAAAGTTAATACTTCAGCATCCATGAAGAAATTGAGGGGGAAATGTCATAAAGCACACTGTCCAAAAATTTACTATTCACTTTCCTTTCTTGGCTTTTCCTAAAAGTTCTCATTTACTTTGAAGAAAAGAATCGTGTGTCCATATTGATTATTACATTTCTAAACAAATCTCAAGCGAACAATTTATTAAACACGACTTTATTTGGAAACAACTATTCATCTCTAAGTCGGATCCAGGTCTTCGGTCTTCCATGGTAACTCATCCATGGAGCTGCTACAAGGCCAGTACGGATTGATTTGGACTAATGATTTTTAACTTAAATAAATTTAGTCTCTCCCTGCAGTGCCTCTGCAGAAAAGGTATATGTTTCCAAATCCATTGCTCATTATCGTCTCATGTGATATGCTTATTATAAAACTTCAGTTTTCCTGCATATCTACATGCAACCTCACCTCATGTCACGAAATACTATTTCAAAAAAAGTGTTAAGCCCGCATGTTCCACAATACAGAGAGTCCTAACCCCAAAGGCTAAATATTTGTATCTTATTTAGGGTATGCTTAGGAGGGAGGGTTTTGTAGGGGCAGAGAGGGATGACTTATTTTCCATTTAAAAAATGCTTTAACTTTATTAATTTAAAAAGAAAATGATAAACTGGTATAAAATGTAATGCTCAAATTATTTATTTAACACCATACACAACATTTACAATTCACTTAGTTCATTGAAAATTAAAACAAAAGGAAAACTCAACCCACAACCAACGGCCGAAACCCTCCCAATCACGCCCTTAAAGTACTAAATTTAATGAGAACTTGTCCTTCTACTATCACAACTGAATGAGAAAATATTCACTGTGCAATAAATAATTACAGAATACCTTAACAGCAGACTCAGAGCCAAGCTCCTTTAGATCTTCAAATTTCATCACCTGGCATCACACATCATGAAACCTTGATGACAAACATTCTAGCAGAGACTAGATACACATGAACTGGTGGTGGTGAATAAGCTCTTCTTATCAATCTTACTTAGACAACATAAAACAACACGTTTATTACTCCGTAATTGATTCCAACTACAAATGTTTTCAAAACGCAAAATCATCTAAACCCTTGTTCGGTTGAAGGGTTTCAAGGGGTTTTGATTTAATAGTAATTTATTCTTGCAATGGATGGTTGGAAAGAATGTGAATATGAACAATTATAGAGATACACATTTTAACTAAGATGTCATCTTATAATCGAAGACTAAAAGTAACAGACGAGTTGAATTAGAAAAAACAAGCCTCCCTTCCTAAACACCCCAACCAAACCAGCCCTAAAATTATGCAAGAAGATTAACATGACAATGTGTTCCTTTTGCCTTGCAAAACCGGCACCAATTTTTCGTTAACTTGTTTATAATGGGTTAATGGGAACAATACACTATTCTAATGCTCCTTCCATCCCAAAAAAGACATTTTTTTCAAGCATAGCTTTGGTCCCATGTCTGGCTTTGCAAAGAAAGTAACAAGCAAACTAGATATGAACTCAGTAAAACAAACAAACTAAAATAATAGGTTTTATGGTTTATGACTGTTATACCTCAGTCAAATAGTGCTCTTTTTGGGACAGAGGTAGTAATACTCTTGAATTACTCTAACAAAAGGGTGATATACATAGTAATAAAAACTTTCATCTTAACCCTGTTAGCAAACTGCAAGTCTGCAAGTAAATACCTCAGCACAGATGAATCCTCTCTCAAAATCAGTATGAATAGCTCCAGCAGCTTGTGGAGCCTTTGACTGGCGCCGAATTTGCCAGCATTTAACCTGCAAAAAACAATTTAGTAGCAGACAAACTCTCAATGCAACTAACAAAAGTAGTAAAAATAAAAATGTAATAACAACTCAAATAATATATAGTAATGATGATATCATGATAGTAACCAACTAAGAAACTTTAAATACCTCATCTGGTCCAGCTGTGAAGAAATAGATGAGATTAATTGCAGAAAATCCCGTCTTTATGATTTTTGGGAGGGCACTGAAATGTGATACACAATATGTCACTAATTCCATTTTCTAGGTATATTTAACTATTTAAGACAGTATTGGATCTAGGCCATGAATTCATTATACAATGCAAGCATAAAAGATGGATGCATTTGAAAAGAATATATACCCCGCCATTCCAGGATTAGATGGGAATGATGGCAAATTTACTCAACCAGGTACTAGGCAACTAGTTTGAGAAGATAGAAACACAACTGAAAGGATGGAGTAGTTCTAATGACATTTCGTATAATTAAAAAAGGAACCATTACAATTCGCAAACTAACATCCATGAGATGTAATAAAAATTAGTAAATAATAATATTAATATCTTAAGTTCTATACATTACTCCTCCTTTTAAATGCAGTGTGCAATACAAATACCTCAATAAACATTAAAAAGAGATCAGTATTTTCTTTCGACTAACCTTTGTAGCTTGTTCTCCTCACAGTACTTTGCAGCTTCATCGGGTGGCATATCAGCAAGATTCCTTTCGAAAGAAGCACTGAATGGATGAATGGCTCCACCACCATGCTCTTGCACCCTAAAAGGTTGAAAAAAAGATGTCTAGTTTAAAAGTTATGTTTGATGGAAATAAAAAACACCCTTCAAAATAGAACGATCATCAGCACCACCTTAATCTCAGCTATGTTGCGGTCATATACAAATTTGAGTCAATTAATTTAATAAAATCAGTAAACATTACAAAATGATGCAAAAATGTATAACAGCAATGTTTTACGTGTGATGCTTTTCATGTTGCAACCTTCAAAAGATGAAGAATGAAATTTCAAAAATCAAAATGTTAGACACAGACACAAATCAAAGCTAAAACTGTAATCCAACTCACAGATCTGATGAACAGAGATGGAAATAGACGTTTATTGATGATATATGGGTAAACTGTAGGGTACAGGGACTTCTTAGGCAACCGGGACTCTCAAGGCAACAATACATCCAAAAATAACCTACTTCTTCTTACCCGTTTTATTCTATTTATAGACCTACAGCTCCACTAGCTATAGTTAATAGCTAATAACAGAAGACAATTATTACAAACTTATTCTATTTATTATTATTCTATGTAGGTCCCTAACAAATCTCCCCCCTAAACAACCACCTTGCCCTCAAGGTGGGCGATAGGTAACCTTCTGCGTCCTCTTCATCCTGGCGCTTCTGCCTTCCCATTATTTCACTAATTTCTGAGAGAGAAGCTTCAATACTTGATCTTTCCAACTCACTGATGTTTCCTGAACCTCTTTGCCAGTGTGATTCAACACATGAACTGAACCACATTTTGTGCTTGAGAATATAGAGTTAGCTTCTTCCTTGATCTGGATAGCATGATCATAAGCCTTGATTGGAGGGAAGTTTAATCTGACTTTGAAAACTTCAGGGAACTCCTTCACAGCCTCCTCTCCTGTATAAAGCTTGTTCCATGTTATGTTCTTGCTCTTGTCGCTTACAATTCAGCAGGTTCTCTTCTCCATTTTTGTTGCAGAATCAGTGCCATGATTGTGAGAGAAACTGCCATCATACTATTTAGGGCTATATCCCCTTTGATTGAGCAAATCTGACTCTCCTGCTTCCATATAAGGTTCTGGTTTTGGAAATTGACAGCCATATCTCCCAATTGAGTTAACCATTCCATTCCAAGCACTAGTTCTATCCCTTCTAACTCCAGGATGTAAAATACTTGTTGTATTACATTCCCTTGCACTTCTAATTTCAGCCCCAAACATCTGCCACTATTGGAAATGAACTCCCCATTCCAAGTCTGGACCTTATATCCTTTTATTTTATAGTAAGGAATTTTATACTTGTCTACCAATTTCTGTGATATGAAATTGTGGGTAGCACCACAATCAATGAGAATGTTTACTGGTTTCTCTCCTGCAGACCAACTTAGTTTCCCCATTACTTTAAAAGTTCTCATATAAGGTATACCTTCTTTACTGAGCACTGATAATTGCATTGATTTTAGTTCAGGGTGAGGCCCCTCTTCTTCTTCAGACTTGCTGCAATCGTCTTCAGTTTCTGCCTCTTCTTCAGAGTTTTCAATCAAAAACATTTTGAAATTTCTCATCTGGCATACATGTCCTCTATTCCAGTTGTCCCCACACTTGAAACACGATCCCTTCTTACTCCTTTCCACCAATTCTTTTTGGGATAAACTGGGGCCTATTTTTCCGGAGTTAGAACCTTCACCAATCTCCCCACTCTTGTTATCATTACTCTTATTTCCAGAAGACTGTGTAGGAGTTGGATTACTGCTACTTCTAATCCCTTCTTCCCATTTCTGATAACTGCTTCCTTTAGATGCCGTGTTCTTCCATGTTCTTTTTCCTTCTTTATTCTTTCTGAACAATATTTCCTCGTTCTTATTCTCAATCAACTGTGCATTTTCCATGATTTTAGCAAGATCTTTGGTCTTATACAACTTTAGTTCAGCCTTGATATCCTTCTTTAATCCATTCAAGAAGATGCCTCTCATAACCTTCTTGTCCAAATATTCTTGAGAAGCAAGGGCCGATTCAAATTGTTCTCTGTATTCTTGTACAGAATTTTTCGGTTTCAGACTCAACAAAGGACCCAAGGGATTTTGGATCAACTCTGGTTGAAAGCGACGAATCAACGCCTTCTTTAATTTCTCCCATGTCCTTTCTTTTGCTTGTTTCTCCCACCATTGAATCCATCCAAGAGCTTTGCCTTCCATCGCTACTACTGCAACTTCAATCTAATCCTCTTCTTCTGTATTGTTGAGTCGGAAATAACGATCAATTCTGACAAGCCAGCCATAAGCGTCTTCACCGTTGAATAAAGGTAGGTCAACCTTTCTGTGCGTCTGATGGTTATGGTGATGCCGACCCTCTGTGACCTTCTGATCCATCGGAACTATCCTCCGATTTCGTCGAGTGATGATGCGATGAGTGATGCGATGAATGAGAGGCCGTCGATCGACTACGCGAACGATGTTGATCTCTCGCATCCATCCACCTTCTCATCCAACTCATTCAACCGCAAATCCATCTTCGTTCGTGTCCAAACCATCCACAGAATCAACAATCTCTGATACCAATGTTAGACACAGACACAAATCAAAGCTAAAACTGTAATCCAACTCACAGATTTGATGAACAGAGATGGAAATAGACGTTTATTGATGATATAGGGGTAAACCATAGGGTACAGGGACTTCTTAGGCAACCGGGACTCTCAAGGCAACAATACATCCAAAAATAACCTACTTCTTCTTACCCGTTTTATTCTATTTATAGACCTACAGCTCCACTAGCTATAGTTAATAGCTAATAACAGAAGACAATTATTACAAACTTATTCTATTTATTATTATTCTATGTAGGTCCCTAACACAAAACCACCACCATCATAGGTTAATAAACTTGCATGGAATATCACCAGATGGTGACGACTTGAATAAGATAAACAAGTGTTTTATCTTTTACTTGTGTGGTAATTGGTACTCCTTCCTTCTCATTGACTTTGTCCCATCTTTCGTTTGTATGAATAAATTTATCACATACTATATTTGGTAGTATTAATATGATTCAAAGTCATTCATACTTTAGACATTCAATATCAACCATATCATTATCAACCATATCATTTCAATATAAAATAACATGCATGCCACTACCTCATGTCCCAAAGATAGTGGCCCGGAGGTAGAATAAACATTTATTGGCAAGAAGTGAAAGTGGTTTGTGTCTATAAGGGGTTTTCTCCTACTTAAACATAGACTAGTGTTTTCAAGCAAGTAAGAGTTGCCAGAAGTTCACCACAAAAAAATTGACCTAAACAATGAGAATTAAAATAATATAAACCAGGAGAACATCATGTATGTTAAGGAGAATTAAGACAAAATATATAAATTTCTAGGTATTCAGAAGCACTGTGATATCCCTCATTATTATGTTATTTTTCTAACTGTCATAAGGTCAAAGTGCATGATGATCGCCAAGTCACCTTTCCTTATTAGAGGAGGCTGACACCTACTAAAGGAAAGACAAGGAAACCTACTACCCCTTGCACCAACTTCTAGTTTTGTCTGATACTTGCGTCCTTCCTGCCTTAAACAATTTTTTTATTAATTAATACTTTTTTAGGAGTGGAACCACATTCTGATCAAGTGCAGAACAGAGAGAGAAACATTAGAGGAAGTGAGGAACATATTTGTATTCACCTGTTTTCCTATCTTTACACAATTAACCAATTAGAATGTGTTGAAGTGTAGACATGCTTCAAAATAGCAATGTCTTTTATGTTCTCAAGAATAATCTCCTTACAAAATTAAAAGACAGCTTGTGCATTCAAACCATTCATCAGCATAGTAAAATGAAAGTGAGCCCGGTTCTATGGAGACCCTCTAGAACACAGTTTTCTCAATCTTTTTTAAACGTATCAGCAGAAATAAGGTAGTAAGGGATCAGGTACTTAAAACCAAGAGTAAAGTGAAAGAACATACCAAGCATGAATCTTAGCAAGGAACTTGTTCTTTTTTCTTTGATAATCTTTCTCGTTCATGTTAGCCTGTGGATAACCACAGAAAAATTCACAAACAAGGTGTTAGAGAGGAAATGGTACAGCAAAATAATGAAATCATAGATCAGGATTCAATACATAATTTAGTGTACATTAATTTCCATTTAAACTAGTACAAAAGAGTTCAAGCAATATCTGAGAATCTCACATTCCTCATGTGAAAACAAAAAAGGGTGAGAAAATAGATTGATTTAAGACAATATATGCATTTATTAGCTTTTGGCTTTTGTAATCATGAGTATTGAAGTATAAATCTTCTGGCAACGTCTTTGGTAAGTAAGAAATGTGAGGTATTGTTGAATCAATTGAACATGACAGCTTTGGGCATCCTAAATCCTAATATAGTCATATTGACATTTTAAATACCGAGTCTAAGATTAGGATGAACTTTCTTCAAGAAATTTTATTCTATTCAAGTGAAGAAGCAGAATCCTTGTGAGGAATATGCTGAAATCAAGTATAATAACAGCAAGCTCCATAAGCCAATTGTTTACAGCAAGCCTCAAAATTAGTTGGCTTAAATGGAGGATTATAAAAGATTATTTCAACTCTTCACTAGAGTCATATTTTTCAATGGTTTCCTTTGCATGTGATACTCCACCATAGCAGGCAAACATATTTGTTATCGCCTCCATATTTAGTCACATTTTTCCTTTCTCGTTTTTGATATTTTTAAATTATTTCTGGTATCAAATACAACTAATATTGTCATTGAAACTGAGATTCTGCAGGGTAAAACAGGAAAATCAGGGAACCAGTGTTCATCAGTGGAAATATTGGGCAAGAATAAACCAAGTCCAGCGTTCTCTATAATTTCCATTGGCGTTTTAGCATCATTGATAATAATTGTTATAGGGCAACTGAGTGTGTAGCTTATAAGAATGTATCCATTACGAATAGTTCTTTACATTACAACACCTTGTAGGCATACTCCAATTTGATGTGATTAGTTATCGATACATTTATTGATTTACGGGTAGGCTTTGGCCTTAAGTCCTCCTACCCTGTATTCCTCATTTTCTCTTCTTATTTTAATAAATAGGTAGGTTGTTCCCCAGTCCCTACCCCACCCTTATACGTTGGATCATTACTGTGTTAAAAAAATCCTTGCTCTTTTTCATTAGAGAATAGATATTTAGGGAAAAGAAGTATTACTCGCATGTGCACTGTGCAAGCAACCATAAGGAAGCAAGCAAGACTAACACAATGCCACTCATACTTACCAAATAAACAACTGGTTTGGCAGTAAGCAACTGAAAGGTATTCAATATCTCAATCTCAGCAGCTTTCCAGTCCCCCAGACGAACATCTTTACCCTCATCAACAAATGCTTTGACCTGTATATATATATATTAACAGCATGCTGATTGGAATCCAACAAAATTGCAATAGTAGGATGTCTGCATATTTGTGGTTATCAGCATTTGGATTGTTTGCAATATAATTGTTGAATGAAATGTACAATTGTGCACGTCAAAAAACAGAAGAAATGTCCAAAAACATAGAGACTCGAAACTAAAGCTATTGTAAATCTGATGGTGAGTAAGTGACCTTGAGTGAAGCTATACACCCCCTGCAGATCAATTTCTTTCATAGTCAAGAGCAAATTTCTTTGCTATATTGGTGAGAAACAATAAGCAGGGGTACCGCTAAAAAAGCAGGGGTAAAACGAGATTGACTATCAATTCCTTTAATAGCTCAATGCTATTATCTTCGAAGTATTCCATAGCAACGAGCCAATGAGTCTTATAACATTTCACTCAGAATGACATCAATCACATAACCAACCATTTTAGAAGGGGTAGAATAGCAAAAAGGACTCTAAGTGATCTAATCAGTCATCTTAGTGTAATATAAATTAAATAACTTGAGATACAGTAGGGTCCAGGATGGATAGGAGACAAGAAATTTTTCAATATCTGGAATTACAGAACAATGAGTACATGTTACACCAAACTGGTTAGGAAAAAAAATCCTGGGAAAAATTGAGGGCATCAAACCAAGCAACATTTTACAAAGCCACTCCACATGTTTAGGGATCTAACTACATTCAAAAAGCAGATTTTCCACCTTACAGCTACTATGTAGCAGTTCACAGTAATAATGGTGAGAGACATTATTGATTACGGTGATTTGATATTTCAGGAAATTTAAAAGATAAACTTCCAAGTCCTGTATAAAGCAAACCTTTAGACACAGTTCATGCTCTATTTTCAATTGTTTGTCATTACTCCTCTTCATGCTCTTTTCAACATCCTCGATCCTCTTTTCCAAGAACTCAGCATCCTAATGCACATTCAGTAACATTTAAATGTCATCCCAATAAACTGTCATGAATTCCAAAAAATATTGTTCATGCGTCACTGATATAACTCATAAGAATATAGAGATTTAACCTAATGCATATATATTGTGATGAAAGCCTACTAAATGGTGAAAATGGAGAGGTATATCAGAAGTTCAATACAGTAGAGAGTAGACAGGTTCGTATTTCTCTCTCAAAGGTTACTTTCATTCACTGCATAGATCTTGCTTCAAATCTCAAGATTGTAAGAAGGAAAAACCTAACATCATTCCCGGACTCCTAAGTTGAGCTTAACAAGAAGTAAATTAGTATTGAAAACTAGAAAGCAGTCCTTCTTTGAATATCTGCATCATGTCTTACAAAGAAAGCAGTCCTCCTTTGTATTTTTTAAATCGGAATGCCTAACTTCTAAATCTCTTTCTGTGTATCAGACTTTAAAAGGAGGCAGGATGCCACAAAGATATCTAGTAAGATTGGATATATAGGTTTGGAGGCCACAAAGAGCTTTTGTGAAAGTGTGTGCACCAACTGTTTCTGCTGAGACCTCATCCAAACAGAAGATATGTCTTACCACTCACTACACCAAAAAGGTTTAACACTTTGTCGTTTATCCTTCAACTTGTATAAGATCCTAAACTTTTTGACATCGAGGCTATTCAATGTGTCTCAACTGGTGTGATAAAATAATCATGTGACAAGACATCCACCCATTTCTTTGTTTAAATCCAATATTCCAATGCTAGCTTAATTGAATAAATGTGTCATCATACTAGCATCTTACTCGGTGCGTGCAGTTGACCTAAGCAAATTGTCTGCATATTTCAAATGGTGCATATAAGATACACTTATTTGTCATGAGTCATGACTTCAACAAAGATATACCTTAAGCCTCAATTCCTGACTAATGATCTCTAAATCTCTCACGGGATCTATCGTATCATCAACATGTATAATATCTGGATCTTCAAAGGCTCCTGTGAAACAGGAATTGTTTATTAAAAATACACATTAGTTATCAGTGATTATCCATCAATGCATTCAAAAAGTAATGGGCATGTTGGTTTTTCCTGGGGGACGGTGGAAAAGCAGCCTGCTAGATTAATAACTATACTTGGGAAAGAAAAGGAATGACTGTGACAACAATATTAATCTCATTGTAAAAGGCTTTACAAGATTTACCAAAGAAACCATAAAAGGGCTAGAAGCCTCACACAATGAATGTGTATGTATACTATGTAATACAGCTTCTTTGTGTCATTCAGGCCAAGGTGGCATACTCTTACTCAACTGGGTCCTATATAGGGTGTCATAGCGATTGGTGTACACACATAACAAAAAGAAAGGAGATTAAGCAATCATTGTACTTAAAACGTGGAAAATGCCATCAACTGCACGGATGTGAGATAAAAAACTGTTTCCCAGCCCCTGTCCTTCATGAGCACCTCGAACAAGTCCAGCAATATCATGAATTTCTAGGAAGGCTGACACCTGATCATCCACAATATTTCAAATGAGCAGAATACAAAAAAATCATTAGCATATTTAGTTAAAAAATAATACTAGGTGCACTTTGAGACATGAAATATTCAAATTCAGAACGCAAACCTCACTCTTTGGCTTGTGCAGTTGACACAGCCATTCAAATCTCTCGTCTGGGATATTCACTCTCGCCTCATTGGGCTCTATAGTGCAAAACGGGAAGTTCTCAGCTGGGATCGACATCTTAGTAAGTGTGTTAAATAAAGTGGACTTGCCCACATTTGGTAATCCAACCTGAAAAATAAAAAGTTTACATTGTAAATAAATATATTCAGTTTTAAAAAAACAAAACTTCCAGTGATGTGCTGAAAACTCTTAACGAATGAACAAAAACGCTACAGTCTACAGGAACGGTATGCTGAAAATGAAGAGTGACAACTTTTCTTGAAAAGCAATTCTGATGCTACACATGCACAAGGAGATAAAATAGAGTGGAGGAAGAGAAATTACGATTCCAATCTTGAGGTGAGACGAGAAGCGGCCGAGAATAGGTCGTTCAGCCGGAGCTTCTTTGGATTTGGCAGCTTTTGGAGGCATCTCTTTAGCAGCTGTGAGAAGATTTGAAGAAGCCGGAAAAGACCCTGGACCTCTTGATAGTATGAAGATGTAAAGGGTTTAGCGATCGTAACGATATTTCCCGGCTTCACAGTTTCTCAACAATGGTGGAACAGTGCTGCAGAAAAATGAATGAGGGGAGCTGAGGGGAGCTGAGGGGAGCCTTCAGGCAAATCAGTTGCCACGTTGGGCTTGGTGGAGTCCTCGACAAGCCCGTAATTTTGTATGGGCTGCCCTTTTCGTCTTAAAATGAAAACAAAGTCAATTGTGTCGTAAAATGAAGAAGATAAGACTAAATTTAAGAGACATATATATTAAGAGAAAAGTGTCAAATAGGTCTCAGTACTATATTGAAAAAGTCAATTATGTACCCGTACAATTAATTTGGTCAATTGAATCCCCTAACTATTAAAAATGGGTCAATTTGGCTATTCAGCCGGTGAGTAACCGATTATGCCCGTAGACGCTGAAGTGGTCGCATATGTGGCATGATTTTTTTGTAAAATCTTTATTGACATGTCAATAACTTCTTGAATTAGGGTTTCATCTTCCCCGTATTCTCCTTCCTTATGACAAAACTTCCCAACTCTATGATGCTCTAAGTTTTTTTGGGGGGAATTCAAAATCGTGCAGCCAGTGAAGAAGATCATTTGTGCTCCATGGTAAGACTGTCTCCTACCATATGTAAGTTGGAATTTCTCCCTCCAGTTCTTGCTGGAGACCGTCTTCTTCGCGTTGCTAGCAAAGAAGCATGGTTTATACTCCGGTGTAAGACTGTCTCCTTCCTTTCATATCTAACCTGAGCTTTCTCCCTCTCTTTTCTTGCTCAACACTTCTTCTTTCATCTCTGCTGTTCGTAACCTTATTCATGAAAATTGCAGAGTTTTGAGGTTCAGAGCTAGGTGGAAGAGAAACAACTAAAACGTCTGCATCATAGAGGTAATTTCAATTGGTCTTTCTTCTGTTGGAGTGAAGGAGCATAGTGCAAATGTCAGGATCCTCTACATCTACAACAAGAAAAAATCGGAATTCCACATTCGATTATGAACCTCCGGTGTACTGTCTATGTGGGTTGAAAGTGACTCTATGTAATGGAAGAGAGAGTGGGAGCAAGTTTTGTGGGTGTGAAAAATGGAAGGTAAACGCTATATTGCGGTTATAGTTTGTACATACTGTGATTAGTTTTTAGTGGTAAAATTGTGAATATATTATTAATTTGAAATTATTGTTAGTGACTGGTTTTTTATAGGTTGGTGAAGGGTGTGGTTTTTTGTGTGGAAGGATGTAATGCAAGCAAAAAATAATGTCATTTAGGGTGAAGATGTGAACCGAGTCATATATCAAATGCAACGGAGCATCTCTGAAGTTGATCAACGGGTGGCTATTGTCCAAAGAGACGCTAAATGCGTTAAAGTGCTACTACAAAGTGAAAGGAAGAACAAGAAGCTTAGTTCATTAGGTCAATTTGGTTTGATTTTGATCATATGTTGTATTGCTATGGTGTATCTCAATGTAAACAATGGTCATTGTTCATAGTGTGTAAGTTTATGTGTGGTCATTGGTAACCTAAAACGATGTATTTTTCGATTTAAACTTGATGTGTTGTTATTAAAGGTTTGCCATGTAACAAACAGTTTATATGTAACAAACGGTTTATATACTCTGTACAAAGAAATGTACGGAGTATATAGTTAAAACATATAATGAATGGGATTCCATACAAAAGCATACGCATACCCATAGAAGTAGCCATTCCACAAAACAGAGCCACTACAAATGACTCTTCACTAAACCAAGTTTAATATTACAATTCTACCAAACTACCAGCATCTCATTCTAACTATAAACTAACAAAATGAAAGAGAGTATTTCCGCAAGTCTCTTCTAGCCTTTTTATCTATCTTATCTAGCTCTTCCAATGTTGCTTCCGGTTGAGGTTGACATGTTGACTTTGCACATCTCCAGAAAAGTGACTTCAAAACCATACCTCGATGTTTCTTGCTCTAGTTAGCATGAATATGCCTAGCACAACTTCTGTGTTCGGCCTCCGGAAACATGTTAGCAATTGCATTGGACATCCCCTACATTAAAAGAGATACAAGGTTATAAATGGATAAATCAATGAAGAGTCCATTGAAGTTCACTCTAGTGCATTTTAAAATATGTATATATAATTAAATTTACCTTCTCATGATCGCTTATTATTGTCAACATTTGACTAATGTCAATTTTCAAATCTGTCTTTAGCAAATCCAAAAACCAGGACCAAGAGGAATTATTCTCTATTTCAACCACAACCCATGCCAATGGAAACATTTGATTGTTGGCATCTCTACCCACAACAGTTAGTAGCTCCCCCTTTAGCCGACCTTTTAAAAAACAATCATCTAATCCGATTACTTTTCTACAACCCTCTAAGAACCCCCTTTTCACTAGGCCAAAACATATGTAAATCCTCTGAAATACCGCTGGAGCTTCTGGTACTGATCTCACTGTTTTAATAACCACAGTACTCTCAGGTATAGAATGCAGACATTCCTCGGTGTAGCTTCTTAGGTTTATGAATTGATCTTTATAAGCAATTTGTGTTTTGTTATGAATAATCCTCAAGGCTCTGGTCACCATACTGAGAGAGACATTGATCTTCAGCTCTGCTTTGATTACATTTTTAATTTCAACGACACCAATGGAAGGGTTCTCTTCCACCCTTTCCTCAAATTTCTCGGCTATCCATTTTTGGCTGACTACTCTAAGCTTAAACTTAGAATTGCACTTGTGTTCTTCGTTCAACACCTTCATTTGAAAACACTTTAGTGTATTCTCCCAGTTGGCAGTACAATGATAAGGGCAAGACGGCACACATTTCACTCTAACTCTCACATCGTCATTTTTTACAAAGTACACGTCTTTTTTCTCAGAAAAACATGTGATAATAACATTCTTCAATTGTATAGCATCTTCAAAAAGCATTTCCAACTTGATCAAATGAGGTTCAGATTCGGGATTATATGAACAATAGTTGATGTTTCTCCTTTTGGATTGACCGTCATCTGACTCATGCTCCGAAGTATAACTAGGTGGAAGCGGAATTCCACATTCGATTATGAACCTCCGGTGTACTGTCTATGTGGGTTGAAAGTGCCTCTATGTGATGGAAGAGAAAGTGAGAGCAAGTTTTATGGGTGTGAAAAATGGAAGGTAAATGCTATATTGCGGTTATAGTTTTGTACATACTGTGATTAGTTTTTAGTGGTAAAATTGTGAATATATTATTAATTTGGAATTATTGTTAGTGACTCGTTTTTTTACAGGTTGGTGAAGGGTGTGGTTTTTTGTGTGGAAGGATGTAATGGAAGCAAAAAGTAATGTCGTTCAGGATGAAGAAGTGAACCGAGTCATATATCAAATGCAACGGAGCATCGCTGATGTTGATCAACGGGTGGCTATTGTCCAAAGAGACGTTAAATGCGTTAAAAAGCTACTACAAACTGAAAGGAAGAACAAGAAGCTTAGGTCATTAGGTCAATTTAGTTTGATTTTGATCATATGTTGTATTGCTATGGTGTATCTCAATGTAAACAATGGTTATTGTTCATAGTGTGTAAGTTTATGTGTGGTCATTGGTAACCTAAAACAATGTATTTTTCAATTTAAACTTGAAGTTTCCTTAAACTTGATGTGTTGTTATTAAAGGTTTGCCATGTAACAAACAGTTTATATGTAACAAACAGTTTATATACTCCATACAAAGAAATGTACAGAGTATATAGTTAATACATATAATGAATGGGATTCCATACAAAAGCATACCCATAACCATAGAAGTAGCCATTCCACAAAACAGAGCCACTACAAATGACTCTTCACTAAATCAAGTTTAATATTACAAGAATTAATTCCATTTTAGGTCTTCCGAGTTTTGTGTCATTTCCATATTTAGTCCTCGTCTTTTACTTTATCCATTTTTGGTACCTGACTATTGTTTTCTTGACCATTTGTGGTCCATTTCTGAGCATTTTTACTATCGGAAAAGGACTATATATGGTCAAGAAAACAATAGTGAGGTACAAAAAATGGATAACATGAAAGACGAGGACGAATTGTGGAATTGGTGCAAAACTCGAAGGACCATAAGTGGAATTTCTTCATATTACAATGCTACCATGGTTCTAAAAATCGGCCTAGGCGCCTGCCTAGGCGCCGCCTAGTTGCTAGGCAGTGGCCGGTCGCCCCGATTTCGCTCTAATCGGTGGGAAAAATCGTTTCGGGGCCTAGGCGGGCTAGGCAGGCGCCTAGTCGGCTAGGCGGGCGACTAGGCAGGCGCCTAGTCGGCTAGGCGGGCGACTAGGCAGGCTAGGCGGTGGCTAGACGGCCTGGACTAAAAAATTTCCCGAACCAACTTTTTTTCTCGTTTTATCTTAAAGGGAGAATTGTCAAATAAGCCCCCAAACTTTCATAAAAAGTGCAAATAAGCCCTTTTACAGGAGGCTTTGTCCGGATGTCGTCATTTGGGAAGGTTTCCAGTGGATTTTTTTTATGAATTTTTTTTAGCATCTTCTTCATTAAGTCTAGTTTTCTCATACCAAATTTCAGCTAAAAATTCAATCTAGAAGGCAGTCAAATGATTTTCTGAAATATACTGCGCCGCCTAACTGCGCAGTTATCTTCAAAAATTAATTTGACTGTCTTACAGATTGAATTTTTAGCTGAAATTTGGTATGAGTAAACTAGACTCAATGAAGAAGATTCTCAAAAAATGTCATCAAAAAAATTAATCGGAAACCTCCCCAATTGGTGACAGCCGTGCAGAGCCTCCTATAAAAGGGCTTATTTGCACTTTTTATGAAAGTTCGAGGACTTATTTGATAGTTCTCCCTATCTTAAAATTTCGTGAGATCGAGAAGTATACTATTCCTATATAATTTATTTTCATATTCTCACAATAAAAAAATAATTTTAAAATATAAATAAACTTTTTAGAATGTATTTTAAGATTTTAAGAGAGTAAAAAACACAAATATCTTAATTTATTTATTAATTATTTTATTATTGATGATTCTACTATAAAAAAACTTAACATATAATGATTATATGATCTATTTCTATTTTCAAAATATTATAAAATTATTAGTGATATAATTAAAATTCAAAGGAAATAAAAAGAAAACAAAAACTGATGGAAAAATACTTAGGCACCCTAGTTGGCGCCTAGGCGCCCGCCTGGGCTTGCTAGGCGCTAGGCGGTCAGTCACCGCCTGACTAGCGCCTAGCGTCTTTTAGAACACTGAATGCTACTAAACTACCAGCATCTCATTCTAACTATAAACTAGTTCTTCCATCCAGCAGCTTATCAGCCTAATATGACACACCATGGCCTCTTTTAAACTACTCTTCAACATGTAGTTCCATGTATACTCAGAGAAGCACTTCACTCCGCTGTACAGGCTGGACAAATGTGAATATTACAATCAGTACGACTACATATATACAACACGAACATCATACACTTACAAATATTTAGATATAAACAAATTTACATTAACCACGGTATTTCCCGTTTCAGGATTTGTGTATATTCCAAAAACCCCTTTTAGTACCTGAAGTAGATGACCTCCCCCTCCCCCTACCTGAAGTAGATGACCTGCCCCTCTCTTCATTCATGTCAATCGTTGTTGTAGTATTACTTGTACACGATGCTTTGTTATGTCCCTCTTGCTTACAAATCGAGCATCTCATGACTCTTCCTTTTCTTGAAATTTGTGAACCGGTTGGTGGAGCTTCAGCTTTTTCCCTTTTTCTTTTCTTTTTGGGCCTGCCAGTCATTTTCTTTGACACCGGGGCTAGGATCTCTTCACTTTCGGTTATTGGCCATAATAGTTGGCCATTAATTGGATGCAAAGTATAAGAGTATGTCTTCTCATACATCTCTTTGGAGTAGCAGTAATCTACAAAGTGTTCATGATTTTGGCCTTTGTCAAATATGGCACATATGGCATGTGCACAAGGGATTCCAGATAGATCACATCTTCTGCATGAACAAGACCTTGCTTGAATGCTTACCTTAAACTATTGTCGACCCTTCTTAATCTCATAACCATCATCCCCGTTAAAATCTACATTTCAATCTTGACTAGCAACAATGTTCATGTTTAGCTTCATCATAATGATAGGTCCAAACTCCCCTGCCATTGATTTATAGTTCAAGATAGTAATCAGTAAACAAAAAGTTTAACAAGTTAAAATCTTTATTAAATAATATGATATACATGGACATTTGGTCACATACTTACTCTTCTTCGCTATTCTCTTCATAGTTGCGACTCTAATATCCTCTAACATTGGTATAAGGGGCTTCTCTCTACATTTTATCAAAGTGCTATTAAATGTCTCAGACAAATTATTATCCACTGTATCACACTTGACATTAGGTCTAAAGTACGCCTTGCAGAACAAATTGAAAGAGTATTTCCGCAAGTCTCTTCCAGCCCCTTTATCTATCTTATCTAGCTCTTCCAATGTTGCTTCCATTTGAGGTTGACACGTTGACTTTGCACATCTCCAGAAAAGTGTCTTCAAAACCATACCTCGGTGTTTCTTGCTCCAGTTAGCATGAATATGCCTGGCACAATTTCTGTGTTCGGCCTCCGGAAACATGTTAGCAATTGCATTGGACAGCCCCTACATTAAAAGAGTTACAAGTTTATAAATGGATAAATCAATGGACAGTCCATTGAAGTTCACTCTAGTGCATTTTAAAATATGTATATATAATTAAATTTACCTTCTGCTGATCGCTTATTATTGTCCACATTTGACTGATGTCAATTTGCAAATATGTCTTCAGCAAATCCAAAAACCAGGACCAAGAGGAATTATTCTCTATTTCAACCACAGCCCATGCCAATGGAAACATTTGATTGTTGGCATCTCTACCCAAAACAGTTAGTAGCTCCCCCTTCAGCTCACCTTTTAAAAAACAACCATCTAATCTAATTACTTTCCTACAACCCACTAAGAACCCCCTTTTCACTGGACCAAAACATATTTAAATCCTCTGGAATACAGTTGGAGCTTCTGGTACCGTTCTCACTGTTTTAATAACCACAGTATTCTCAGGTATAGAATGCAGACATTCCTCGGTGTAGCTTCTTAGGTTTATGAATTGATCTTTATAATCAATTTGTGTTTTGTTATGAATAATCCTCAAGGCTCTGGTCACCATACTGAGAGAGACATTGATCTTCAGCTCTGCTTTGATTACATTTTTAAGTTCAACGACACCAATGGAAGGGTTCTCTTCCACCCTTTCCTCAAATTTTTCGGCTATCCATTTTTGGCTGACTACTCTAAGCTTAAACTTAGAATTGCACTTGTGTTCTTCGTTCAACACCTTCATTTGAAAACACTTTAGTGTATTCTCCCAGCGGGCAGTACAATGATAAGGGCAAGACGGCACACATTTCACTCTAACTCTCACGTCGTCATTTTTTACAAAGTACACGTCTTTTTTCTCAGAAAAAACATATGTGATAATAACATTCTTCAACTGTCTAGCATCTTCAAAAAGCATTTCCAACCTAATCAAATGAGGTTCAGATTCGGTATTATATGAACAATAGTTGATGTTTCTCCTTTTGGATTGACCGTCATCTGACTCATGCTCCGAAGTATGGCTATGTGGGTTGGAAGAGTCATACTCCACATTATCAACTTCTTCACCCTTATTTTCTTCATTCCCTTCACTGCCCAATGCACCCTCACTTTGATCATGATCTGTATTATTAAACTCTCTTTAGGTATCATGATTGTCAAGCTGCTCTGAATTATCTTCAAATCCCTCCACAATCTCTTTTGGTACCTCACTGCCATGCACATCATTTGACTCACTGTAATTTGAGCCTAATTGCACATCAATAAGGCCCTCATCATCTCCGTCAATGTTTGCACCATTAGGACTCTTGGACATAAGTGTTTCCTCCTCAAGAGGTACAATTGATTCTGACAAAGAGAGAAAATCAAGTAATTCATATTCATCTGAATCATGCTCAACAAATAAATCACATTTTCCACTGCTTGTAGCCAAATCTATCAACTCTAACGTGGATTCGTCATTGAAGAGCTCACGCAATCTATCCACAGGTTCAGTTGGTTGCTTAAAATACAACTTTTTATGTTTCCATAACTTCCAAATTTTAGGAACTTCATCAAATGTGGGTAACATATGTAATCTGGATCTATTTCAACACTTTCAACTTCACCGCCTACATACATATTCTGAGTACACACAAAATTCCCTCCATGATGAATAATTACTTGTATGGTCTCAACCATCCTGTTAATTATATTGTGATTAAAAATGTTAACAGGGGACACAATATCTAACTTTAAGTACAATCGTAAGGTTAACTACACACATAAAATTTTGAGAATAGATTACTTGGCATGCGATTGATGGACTGCTTCTAGTAATTTTACGATTTCCTCTAAAGCTGAAGTATGAACGATGCTTCTTCACTGGCTAAGCGATTGTTGGCAGGTTCCATAGCCGCTTTTGTTGATTCTCTTCCATCTAGCCTTGAACCCAAAACCTCTGTAATTTTTGTAGATAGGGTCAGGAGGAGTAGAGATGGAAGAAGACGATCTCCAGCAAAAACAGGAGGGAGAAATTTTAATTTACATATGGAAGGAGACAGTCTTACCATGGAGCACGGATGATCTTCTTCACTGGCTGCACAATTTTGAATTTCCAAAAAAAAACTTAGAGCGTCATAGGGTTGGGAATATTTTTCATAAGGAAGGAGAATACGGGGAAGATGAAACCCTAATTCAACAAGTTGTTGACATGCCAATAAGGATTTTACAAAAAAATCATGCCACATATGCAGCCACATCAGCGTCTACGGGCATAACCGGTTACTCACCGACTGAATAGTTAAATTGACCCATTTTTAATAGTTAGGAGATTCAATTGACCAAATTAATTGTACGGGGACCTAATTGACTTTTTCAGTATAGTACAGAGATCTATTTGACACTTTTCTCATATATTAATAATAATCTCTCAATTACTTCTTCTTAATATTTGAAAATTTTCAGAATTTCTGAGTGAGTTTACAAGAGTTTATCAAGCCCCTATTTATAGGGATGGAGCTTGATGATGAATCACCCCAAATAGTTCTACATAATTTTGCTGGCACATGTAAATCAAGCCATCTATCTATGATTACAAGGACTAGAAGTGGATGAGTGGTCTGATTACAAGGATTAAAACTAGCTAGGTGTCCTGATTACAAGGATGGACATTCACACATGTCATTTTTACGATTTTACAACACTCCTCCTTGAATGTTCATCCTTGAATAGATATTTCTTATGTTAAAAAACTTATTGTGAAACTTGAGTGTGAAAATTAAGGGGTAAAGTTTACGACTTACAATGTTGTTGTATTTGGATGTACCGTCTCGTTAAATACCTTATCAGGAAAAACCCGGTGGGATAAAAACCTGATAAAGGAAAAAAGAGTGCAGTGCATTCAAGTACTCCCCCTGAAATTAACATAAATTTTGAAGGCGGCGCATGCCGATTTCCTGTACAAGTTCTATGAACTTCTTTGGGGGTAAAGATTTGGTGAAGAGATCGGTCGGATTTTCACTGGATTTGATTTGTTGAATGTTAATCGTCCCTTCTTTGTCCAGATCATGAGTAGAGAAGAATTTTGGTGATATTTGTTTCGTTCTATCTCCTTTGATGTAGCCTTCTTTAATTTGACCTATGCATGCAGTGTTGTCTTCATAGATCATAGTAGGATGACAAGTAATAGGTTTCATACCGCATTCGTTTTGAATGTGTTGAATCATAGATCGCATCCATACACATTCTCTTCCGGTTTCATATAGTGCAATTAACTCAGAATGATTTGATGATGTAGTTGTTAATGTCTGCTTCATAGATCTCCATGAGATTGCAGTGTTACCATATATCTGAAATGTCGGGATCTGTTTGGCACTGTTTCATTGTTTCGCCTTTTGAGGATCTGATAAGTATCCAACATCTGCATATCTGATTAAAGTGGCTTTTGCATCTTTGTGGTAGAATAGGCCGAGATCAATCATACCACAGAGATAATGAAACATGTGTTTAATCCCGTTCCAATGACGCCTTGTTGGGCATGAGCTGTACCTAGCTAATAAATTTATAGAAAATGCAATATCTGGTCTAATATTATTAGCTAAATACATTAAAGCTCCAATAGCACTCAGATATGGTACTTCGGGACCGAGTACTTCTTCATTGTCTTCTCGGGGATGGAATGGATCGTCATGTATATTGAGAGATCGAACCACCATCGGTGAAGTCAACGGATGAGCTTTGTCCATGTAGAACCGCTTCAAAACTTTCTCGGTGTAATTGGATTGATGAATGAAAATTTCATTCTTCAAATGCTTAATTTGAAGTCCGAGACAGAATTTTATTCTCTTGAGATCTTTCATTTCAAATTCTTTCATAAGATATTTTGCAGTATTTTCAATTTCATCAGGAGTTCCAATATAATGCTCCCTCCGTCCCTATATAAAAGTATCCATTCGTTTTCCACACATTTTAAGAAAGTGGGTTTGGTTGGTCCTGTTTGGCACTGTTTGGACACTGTTTGGCACTGTTTTGCACTGTTTTGTTTGCCAAAAAAGGAAAAGGAACTTTTATTTAGGGACGACCTGAAAAGGAAACACATGCTTTTATTTAGGGACGGAGGGAGTAATGTTTAAATCTTCAACATATACTGCAATTATGGCGAATCCGGAATTTGATCGTCGAATGAAAGCACATGGACTAATTGGATCATTCTTATATCCTTCTTTGAGAAGATATTCACTGAGATGATTATACCACATTCGTCCAGATTGTTTTAGTCCATACAATGACTTTTGTAGTTTAACGGAAAACATGTCTCGAGGTTTCGAGTTGTATGTTTCAGGCATTTTAAATCCTCCAGGAACCTTCATATAAATGTGTGTATCGAGTGAACCGTATAAATATGCAGTCACTACATCCATTAGGCGCATTTGCAGCCTTTCAAAAACAGACATGCCAATGACAAACCTTAATGTAGTTGCATCAACTACTCGAGAATAGGTTTCTTTACAATCTATTCCCGGCATTTGAGAAAAACCTTGGGCAACAAGTCGGGCTTTATATCTTACGATTTCATTCTTCTCATTGCGTTTACGCACAATACCCATTTAAAACCCACTGGTTTTAGACCTTTTGGTGTAGGGACTATTGGTCCAAAAACATCACATTTTTCAAGTGATTTTAATTCAGCCTGAATAGCTTCATTCCATTTTGGCCAATCGTGTCATTTCCGACATTCTTCTATTGATGTTGGCTCATTGTTAT